CAGTACTCGTGCTGCAGCGTTTTGAATTAATTGGAGCGTTTTAATGGACTTATTAGGGCAACCTGATAATAAAGAGTTGCAGTAATCCAGCCTAGAAGTAACAAATGCATGGATTAGTTTTTCTGCATCTGTCTGTGATGTGTCTAATTTTTGTAATATTACGTAAATGAAAGAAGGCAGTCCTAGAGATCTGCTTTATGTGGGAATTAAATGACATGTCCAAACAGTGGATGGTAAACAGTCAATGTATGACATCTTCTGATTATTGATTATTGATTGAATCAACACCATATAGAACATAGCCCTAGAGGTTATACACTGTTTAATGAGGAAATGTTAGATTAGAGATTTAACTATTTATTGATTATTGACTATACACTGTAAAAAACAACTTTTTAAAGATTTGCTACATTAGCTGAGAAAAGTTATTTTACAGCTTAAAGTCTGTTGTTACTACATTATCCATGATTCTCTGCAAACAGTGACCATGCTACAGACACTTTGACATGCTTCTTAGATGTTCTTGTCCAGGTCAGGGTGCTGTCTGTCTCCAGATGTCCTCCAGCTCATCATCCAGCTCATCATCCAGCTCATCAAACTGCCAGCAATCAGGACTCAGAGGTTCTGGTCTTTGCTTAGGTTCTTGTCCAAACTTTGAACCAGCAGAACAGATACAGCAGCCTTCAGTCAGACAGTCCACCATCCGACTGGACCTTATCAGACTAGGTATGGAGGCTGGATGCTTAGGGACTCGCTGGGTGGAGGGAAGAGCAGGGCCTGTGGTTGGCTGATAGATGTGACCTCTTAGGTCACATGTCCTGGTGTGGACACTTACACAGTGCTGCTGATGGGGGACCGGTTTAGGACGAGAGGGATCAGGTTTAATCTTTTGGATGAACCTATCTTCCTGAGTGATGAGTCTGTTCTTGTTGCCCTGGTCGTCCTCGGTCAACATAGGACCTGGAACCTCCTCTGAAGGTGGAGGAAACTCTGAGGAGACAACTGGAGGTCTCACCTGGTCTTCAGATTCCTCTGAGGTCTTTCTGATGTCGAACCATTGTTCCTGGTCCTGGGTTTGGTGTAGATTGGATGAGATGGTGGCAGGACTGATGGAGCTGCTGCGGTCCTCTTTGGATCTGGAATTAGAGATGTCCTTGTGGCCTTTTGGTTGATAAAAACCTGCTGCAGAAGAAGAATCTGAGGAGATGCCTGGAGGTCTCACCTGGTCTTTGGTATCTCTGGTCTCTGAGTTCTCAGTGACGATCATTCTGATGGTACTGAATAAGATCTGATTCTGGTCTGGAGATCTTTGTAGACCAGATAAGATGGTTGTTGGACTAATGGATATCCTGCTGTCCTCTGGAGGCTGCTGGACTTTGGACTCAACCTTGCAGCAGCTCACCTGTGTGTGATCACCTGTCAGTGTGACCTCCAGGTGCTCTGCAGCATCCTCTGTCTCCATGGTAACCACTGAGCTGTTGTGGATGTACAGCAGCAGCTCGTTGTTGACAGGAGTTCTGGAGGTCTCTCTGTACTCATCTATGTGGGCGGAGCGTCTGGTTCCAGGGGTTGGTAGTAACTGCGGGTTCAGAGTGGAGGCTGAACGGTCAGAGGGCAGAACAGGAAAAATGACGGTGCTGACCCTGGGGAGGAAGGTGGAGGAGCTGACGGATGGTTCAACACCTGTCTCTCTGCTCTGACCTGTCATCTGCACACACCTGCTCACCTGATACAGAATCAGGATGGGGATCAGTTTAAACAGGAGGGTGTCCTTAAAAAGAAAACAGATACTGACAGGTACAGGTACAGGTACTGACAGGTACAGGTACTGACAGGTACTGACAGGTACTGACAGGTACAGGATCAGGTACAGACAGGTACAGGTACAGACAGGTACAGACAGGTACAGGTACTGACAGGTACTGACAGGTACTGACAGATACAGACCTTGCTAACTGTAGTGCATTCTGCTGATCCTGGTCCTGGTTCTTTTGGTCTGTCTCCAAACTGTGAGCAGAGACTTTCAGGAGGATCTGACTGCCTAAACACAGAGAGAGAGTTACCTGTGCAGTTATGTTACCTGTGCAGTTATGTTACCTGTGCAGTTATGTTACTTGTTACTTGTGTTGTTGCAGCAGCAGAGCCCAGCAGGTCTTCACCTCCTGCTGTTTGAATTTTACTCTCGCTGTCAGTGTGGGATGAAGCACAGACAGATGATGGACACACCTGTCCAACACCTGTGCAGAGGACATGTCAGAGATCAGAGGTCACACAGATACCTACAGTATGTTGAGGATTTACGATGACAGCGGATCCTGTGTAACTCACTGTGATGTCAGCAGCGATGTCATCAATCGATCGTGAACATGCTTCACTCTGAAACATAAAATATGAAGATGTCAGTGAAGATCTCTGAGCGATGGATCTGCTACAGGACAACACGTTACTGTGACATCACTCCGACAGGAAGTCACTTACTTTATGAAAATGGTGTCTGCTGTCTTCTGATTGGCTCAGTGTCCTGCTGATGTCATTCAGGATGATGTCAGCTTGTTGGTAGAACAAAGAAACTTCCAGAGCGAGATTCACTTCCTGTTGACAGCTACAACACACACAGTAATACACAGTAGTACACACAGACACACATACACACACACACACACAAACAGTAGTACACAGAAATACACAC